GACCAGATTCTGGGTTGCAGCTCCTTGCGCCTACCAAGATTCTTGTAGGAGGCCTAGCACACCCTAAGATTGCTGCCCATCTAGTAATTTGAAGCCCATGGAGGACTGAAGAACCTTGTGAACTGCACATAAAAATAAGGCAACACTTGGTCCCAATTTCTTAGCTCCCTTGTGACAAATCTTCACAGCATTCCTTTGAGAGTCCAGTTGAACCTCTTGACCAGGCCATCCATCTGAGTATGGTACATAAAAGTCTTTACTGGACATAATTTCAACAGGGTCTAGACCTCTTGTATAAGCCAGACCATAAAGGCAGTGCTCTGGTCAGTTAAGACCTCTCTTGGAAGACCCATCCATGAAAATATCTGCATTAACATAGATGCCACTGTCTGTGCTGTGCAGATCACTACTACTTCTGGGTATGCAAGGCATAGTGAACAAGGACAAGATGAATCAGGTTTCTCTCAAGCTAGGTTTGAGAGGTCCCACTAAGTGAATTCCAACCTGCTAAAAAGGTATTCCCACCAGTGGAATGGCCACCAATGGGGCTTTAGACATGTGGGGAGGGGGGGCAACCAATTTACACTCAGGGTAGGAGGAACAATAAGCTTTGATCTCCTGATATACTCCAGGCCATGAAAACATTACCAACATCTGCATCTTCTTTATCCCCAGATGCATGCCCCCCACCCACCCACCCACCCCTGGGACAGCATGTGCCAGCTTCAACACCTGCCAGTGATATTGCCTCTATTGCCTTAGGTTTAAGATCTGTGAACACCAGGCCCCTGTGGTTTTATCCCTGGTTACCCTCACCAAGCAATCCCCCTGCAGCTCGAAGTGGGGGTTCTGGGCAGCTAGATGTGTCTCTACAATGACCCCATTGGCCTGACCCAATAGTTCATATATCAGGTCCTCTTGATAATCTTTCATGAAATCCTGACTTTTTCCCACCTGATCCAACCCCCTCTACTGAGGGCCCCCAGTGGTTCCCAGACTTTCTGCCCCTTCTGAAGGGGTGTCTAGGTTGCACTGCCCCCCAACCCTTTTCCAGAAGCATTTCTGTTTACTGGAGAGGGTCTGCCACCTCACCCCCCACCACTCTCAGCATGACCTGAGCTGAGGCCCAAATAGCTCAGGGTCCATAAAGGAAAAATTATCTCCCAACTCAGGTTCCACAGGATTGTGGTCCTCTTGGCTTATTTCCTTGTCATGCCCATTGTATCAATTTGCCCACCAACCCCCAGTCTTGTCCCACCATAACTGGGTAGGCTAAATGGCTAGCCACTACAACCCTCACATGGCCTTCCTGTGTCCAAGTTGACAGAATGAGATGAATTACAGACTAGGTTCAGGCGTTCCCATTATCTGGGGTCTCCTGTCACACCTCCAAAACATAGGTGTAAATATACCCACACTCCATCTGCAGGCAGTCTCCATAGTGATGGCCATTCTCCCTGCATCAGAAGCATGTGATTCAATCTTCCCATCCTCCTCCCAGGTAGCTGTCTTCCCTGGTTGGGCCCTTGGAGGAGGTGCAAGTGATGTCCACACTGGGAGCCCCCCTAGAGACTTGGCCTGTTTTTCCTGTAATGCTGACCTCCTTAGGCTTGGAGGTGTCCAGTCTCCTCAGGGAACTCAACAGTCTGATTATGCCAGCAGGAAGTCTTCCACTTTGAGTAGCCTCTTCCAAACCAGCCACCCAGTGATGATACACCCACTTCTGGATTTTAGCCAGGAGGATGTCACACAACTATTCTAATGTCACAAGTTCAACAATCTGGGTGGCTGATCAGAAGTCTGGGTTTAATCAGTGCGTACATATATCTTTTAAATTTTGGGCCAGGTACTTGGATCCCAGGTCTCTAACCAAAATCTGCAGTGATAGGCTTCCTCTAGAAGACCTAACCAATCTAATGTGGCCACCTTGAAGGTCTTCTAATCCTGGGCCAAACCCATACCCAGGACCCAGTACATGGCCTGGGGCTCTCTAGTTAGTAGCAGAGCCACCCTCGCAGTCCCCGGACCCCATGGCCACTGATAGGTTTCAGCCACCTGCTCAAATATCACAAGAAACGCCTCTGGGTCATCAACCAGTCCCATCTTGGGGAGCCCTTCACCCTCAAGCCTCAGGGTTCCCAGTTACTCACCAACACGTGTGGGGTTCTTTCTGCATTCCCACTGCTGTCACAGGAACTCCTGCTTTTGCAGATGCTTCTCCCTTTGAAATTGCTGCGGTTGCTGCTGCTGTAGTTGGAGCTGCTGAAATTGTTGCTGCTGCTGCAGCCCCTCCAGCCATTTTAGCAGGGATCCTGTCTCCACTTTAAGCTGCCTAAATTCCCTACCACATCTAGTGTGTTGTCAGTTCATATAGCACAGTCTATTTCCCTGGGCAAATTTGCCCCCCAGAATACAGTATATACCATCAAACAGAAACCAAATAAATACATAATAAATACAAATAAAAACAATACAGGGTTAATTCACACCCAGAAGTCTTTCCCAGGCCCCATAGGCAGCAGAAGGCCATGGCTTTTTTTTTTTTTGCGTGCCCCCCGCCCCCCCCCCCCAACTAATTTTGTGCCAGCCGGTGACAACAGCAGCACCATGGCACTGCTCAGCATGCAGCCAGGCCAGTACTCCATGTGCGCTCAGCTCCACAAGGCTGAGGAAGAAGAGGCTAACCACGCATACTTCGCACCATGCAGAGCACAATGGGTGTTGTAGTTCTTGTGCTGATGCATTCACTCAGTGCCCACAATATTTTCTCCCTCCATCTATGCCAGGCCCTGAGAGGGTATCATGACTTAATGCTGTCACCTCTAGCCTCTCAGCCTTCTCTGCTCTCTCAGCTCTCTTCCCTGGGAACTTTAAACTTCCTCTAGGCCAGTTAATTATCCTCATCAGCTGTCCCAGTCCGCCTAGCAGACCTTCAATCACTTTCTTACCATATACAGCTAGGCTGCAGCCCATGAGACCTGTAGCCTACTACAGTACCCAATATGTTAAAAAAGTGAGCACCACCCATTGTGAATATGAAGTAGTTTTCTTTCAGATGGGGTAGCATATACCAGCAACCAGGAAGTTTTCAATGACCTTTGCACTCTAATGAAGCATGAAAAAGCATGATAACATTTTGCATGAAAAAGCAGCACTGTTTTAGGTTTATTAACTCAGAAAGGCCATGATCCGAAACCAAATAAGGACAAGAGGAATCTTTCCACTCAGATGAATCCCAGAATGATTATACAACCAACAATATACAATTAGGCATTTCTATTTAATAGTCCTGATCTTAGATCCTAGGCTTTTTTTAGTTCGTTCCCAAATGCCAGGCAAAGGCTGTAGTCACATTTAATGCAAAACTGTTCTAAAAGCGAGGGAGCTTATTGCTTGGGAGTGTGCTTCTGCTAAACACATGTAACTTCTTCGTCAGTCTACTCCAGTGGTTTTTAACCTTTTAGAGGCAAGGTCCTCGCAACTAGGCTCAAGGCACCCCTTGGGAAATTCCAGCTTCTAGCTGCCACTTGCTTTTTGACTACAGAAAAATGATACAGCAATTCTTCTGTTGCAAAGAGCTCAGAAAGACCACAGAAGATCAGAATATTTTTTACACCATAGATTCCTATTTGAAATCTTTTGGTTTATCTTGTGAATCATGAATAGGTATCTGTAAATATTGAACTGCACCCTGTGGCATTCTTAAAAGGATCTTGTCGTATCCCTACATGCCACAGCAATCTGGCTGAGAATCATTGGTTTATTCCTACACTGGTGTAATGAAACAGGTTTAAAGTTATAGTAGTTTAATTTTTATTTAGACAGAATAGAGCAGAGTGGTGAACTAGAGGACACAAAACAGTAACAGTGGATTAGCTGTAAGGCACTAACATTAAATGCTTTAACTTTTCATCTGTCCACATATAACAGTATTCTACTTGTCAAAAAAATCTTCAGGATTTTTTATTAGGGCATAAGCCAAACAGAAGAAAAATGGGTTGATGGCTGTTTACTGAAAATATTTTAATTTCCTCTGTGTCCACCTACATTCATTTAGGGCTTGGACATAGGATTATATCTACACTGGTGTCATTTACATTGGTGACATAGATTATACTGGTGTCTGGAGCAGATAGATGAGCAGATTATTCCAGGGTAGTACACTGCAAGACTGCTATTATTGAATCTCATCATTAGGTAGCAGAGGAGCCAACAGAAGCTCATTTGCACTCAGAAAATGGCTGCTGCACAGTAAGGGCAGACACATACCCATGAGTCTTCCAGGGGTAATTCTACACTGAGTGATGTTACCCAGTGCAGAGGTTTACATCATCACTCTGTTCTTTGTTTACATCGGTGTAAAGGTCAGTTACAAAAGTGCAAATATGTCATGTGTCCAGGCCTTCAATAAGGCTACATATTTTCTCTAAACTATTTGTGATTGATGTAGATCCTGCCTATTTTCCACACAGCAATGGGATTACTACCAAGTTCTTAGGAACCAATTTTATTTTTTTCACAGTAAATACATACAAGTGTTTTGGGTGACCCAAGAATCTGCAAAGTTTGTCTAGCAGACTGACTACTAGTCAGAAATTCAGAAAAACAAATATCAGACTTGAAATAAGGCAAAGTTTTAGCACAAGTTTGATTAACTATTTGAACAAAATACCTAGGGATGTGGTATATTCTCCAGTTCATTGTCTATAAATCAAGGCTGGATAGCTTTCTGAAAGTAATGCTTCATTTCAAATAAAACGTATGGAATTGATGCCACAATTAGTCAGTATTGCTCAATATACTATGTTATAAAAATCAGATATCCAAAATGGTCCCTTCTGAGCTTAACATAATTACATTCATTCATACGTGCCAATAATTATGGTAAATCCCAGGAGAATTATCTAATATTTAACAGTAGAATATCAAACCTTTCATGTAATCTGAAATCAATGTTTTCAAGTTTCATATTAAACCTAATGAATGTCTTTTTTTGTTAGGATATGACCTGTTCAGTGTTGTGGCTCATGAATTTGGCCATTCTCTTGGATTGGGACATTCCAAAGATCCAAATGCACTTATGTATCCAAAATATAAATTTTTTGAGTCAAAAGGATTCCAACTTTCACATGATGATCAGACAGCAATCCAGTCATTGTATGGTAAGTTCTACTGAAACAGTTCCTGTATGAAGAGTAAACGATTTCAATTTTCCAATCCATTATACCACTTTTATACTGACCTACCTACATTCACACCAGTGTATATATGAAGAAAAAATGATAAGAATCAGGTGCTAAATCCATGTTTGGTAGGCAGGGAGGTGCAATGCCTATGCAATTTATTTTTAATTGGAATATTTCAATGTCCTTTGGACTTGTTAGTTCCTATTTACACAAGGAATATAAAGTAAGCTTAACAATGCTCCAAAACATCCATGTTCCCTAGGAATTTAGTTAATTCATATTGGTAATGTTCTGTAGAATCTCATGTGCTGTGTGCAAAATACTGTGGTGAGTCTGACTTCTTTCAGAGTATGGGCACACAAAGTTTATGACATAAGCTAGGGCATGAATTTATAGCACATCAGCCACTCCATAGTAACTGTTCATGTGTACATATTCACAAAACTTATCAGTCACAGTCAATTACTGTGGAACAGATGATGCATTAAGTTCACACTCCAGTTACCTTGTGATGACATGTTTGCTGCTTATACCCTTTAGGAACTAATTAGAACAGGGCTGTTCTGCTCCAAATATCTGGGTGCTGCACACTGCATGGGCCCCATGCTGTGGGGATGGCTCCCCCGGGAACTCCCTGCACTGCCCAAGTTGTGCTGCTGGCATGTACCTTCCATCCCCTGCTGCATGCTCAGTATGAAGACCCACCCCCCATACAGGCTGCTCAGGTATTACATGGACCCCTAGTCCACACAGCAATTAGACAGCAGTGGGAGAGGCAGACACCAGGGCCTTTGGGCTGCCTGTTAACCTCTTGCAGGCTTCATGTGCCCCACAGACCACATGCAGCCCATGGACCAGCAATTGGACGGCCCTGATCTAGGATAGGTGTGGCCAACTTGCAGCATGAGTGCCACAAGTGGCACAAGCAGCCCGTGTCTGTGGCACATGGCAGATTAGGAAAGAAGTAGGCTACAAAGCAGCAGATTGGGCAGGGAGCAAAAAGCAGAGTAGCAGATCAGGTAGAGGAAGGGGATCAGAGTGACATTTGGGTAGGGCACAGGGCTAATTTGTGGCACACCTGCCAAAAACATGGGCCCCCACTGATTTAGGAGATGCTCATTCATTACTACAACCACTAATCCAGTATAAGGATTGTTATTTTATTGGGTTTCCAAAATTATCTGTACTTCCCACTAAGGCAGAATTGACAATGACAACACTTTAAATGGACAAATGGACACCATTTTTTCAGCTCCTGTTATTCTTTCTTTTATACTTGATGTGTGAAGGTCCAGTTTCTCCAATTATCCTCAGTTAATCTCAAACTGATTGCATTGTTAGCACTGAATTGTTTAATACAAAGAGTAATGACAGTTCATTATATCCATTTAGGCCAGTTAGAGATTTTACACTGCAGCAGTCTTCCTTACATAATCATTTGACTGATATGGGCTTTGTATCTACACATTTCCTTAGGAAATATAATTTAAAGGGTAAGCAGATATAGTTGAAAGGTGCTCTAGTAAAAAGGCGGTAATCGTGTTTCTGGATAATAGAATCTATTTATTTTCAAACTGTATTCATATTTTTACTTTAAATAGAAGATAAATGGATGTGCATATGCTTTGTTTGAAGGTGCTCAAAGTGAAAATTCACTTGGGAGAAGCATTCCAGAGAAATGTGAAAACTCCCTAACTTATGATGCAGTGACTAGTATGGGAAATAGCTTGCTTTTCATCAAGGATGGGTAAATATCCACCTTCATGGTATACAGTACATTATTACCAGGCTTATCACTGTTGCTGCACAGACTGTATCACTTAAATGTTTGAAGAGCACATTACTAATGAAGCATTCTGTAAGGAATTTCATAGAAGCAGAGATGCTGGAAAATGACTTCTTTAAATTGTCTAGTCCATCACCTGCCCATAGAACAACTGTTCCCAGTACTATTTTTGATTGTCTTTCTGGAGGGTCAGATGATGAGTTTACTACCCTGACTGAGCAATTTATTTTTACTGGTTCCCTAATATTCAACACTTAAAACATTTTTTGAACACATCAAGCCCCTAATTCAGCAAAATACTCCAGTACTTGCTTTCCTGTAAAGTGTTCAATTTATGAAAATAATCCCATTTTTACTCAACGAAGCACAAAATCCCATTGATTTCAACAAGACTTTATCATGTGTGTAACAGGGTGGGGTCCCTAGGGATGGCCGTGTTACCCCTAGGGCTCCTTAACCATGCCAATCTCGCCCAACAGGCACCCTCTATCTCGCCCGCCATGTCTTGCTGGTACTATTAATATAGTGAGGCTGCCCTTGATCTTTTATGTTTGGATATGGTCTTGCTAGGTCCTACTGAACCCTGGGGTTTGTAGACCCCTTGGCGTCCCACTTCACGGTGGATATCTCCTGACATATTTTCAGTCTTCTGGGCTATATCCGTGGCTCCAAGCCACCCTTTTACCATGCCCCAAGCCTTGCAAATGGTACTGACATTGTCTCGCCTAGGCCTTGCTATAATTCGACCCCCTTGTCCTCCCTGGGCTCTCTGCAGCCCCAGGCTTTAGTCTCCCCCTTGTCACTGTGCCCTCTGGTGCCAGGGCCTGGTTGCCCTGAATATTGCACCCATGCTGGTGTTTGGGGCCCCACACTGTAGTGGGCCCCCGATGAGGTCTTCTCCTTCCCCAGTAGCCTCACCCAAACCACTGGTGTTATCAAACAGCAAACAAACAACAGCAAACAAACATGAGCCCCTGAGCTGTAACATAACACAAAAGTTCAGGGCATGCTCTTCCCCTTTAAAAGAGTAAAACTTCTTCTCTGGTGCTAAGTGCCTAGTAGGCAAGGGTAACTTGTGAGCTCCTGGAGCCTCATTAGCCCTAAGGGCAGCGTATCTTATGGCTGCCGCATCTCTGGGCCATTCCTCCCTGGAGGCTCCTTCCCCTTCAGCTGCTGGCAGGAAACTGATCTGCCTGGTCCCAGCCCTAGGATTTACATGTGCCCAGGGCCCTGCCTCTTCCGGCCAGCTAACCAAGTGCAGGTGCAGCTAATTTCCCCATTAACCAGTTGTCATGATAACCTGCACATGGGCTCCTGTCTGGCTCTTTGGGCTCTCTCCCCAGGCAATCTCTGCTCTTAGAGGACCTTAGTGCCCTGCGACAATGTGCTTATATTTAAGTATTTGATTAAGTAATTATTTTTAGCATGTGAGTAGCTCCTCTTAATTTGACCACTCTTATGCTTAGTCAAATGAGCTGATTTGCTATGCTAGCCCACAGTTTTATGACCTCATGCCTGAAGTAACTAGTGTCATAGCCAAGATCTTCATACAGCCAGTAGTACTTGAAAAAATGAGCAATTCAGAGAATGTTATTAAGTGCTATGTTCTGTTATGTTTAATTATCTATAGTATGAATGTATAAATATATGAAAGAGAAGATTAAAAATTGAAGATAGTATCAAGAGATGCCTCTTGAAGTGTCAACTTTTCTCTGGATGACTGCGGACGTCTCTCCCATATGACTGCAATTTTTGTGATAACAGGCAGGAAGTAGGAGAAATTGGAAATGGCAGAAAAAAATCCCTCTGCACAGAAATCAATAACAAATACATTCATGCCTTCTTTTAAAGCTATCACGCTGTATGATAGCTTTAAAAGAAGGCAAATTTCATTTTTTTTAACAATTTCTAATAGTCTACTGCAAATGTATTTGATTCTGAAACATGAGGAAAAGTGCACAAGTTTTCCTTTGGAATATAAAACCCAAACCAAGATTCAAAGCTATAGATAAGTCATAACACTTAAACAGATTCTTATTAGCACTGAAAGGTAATGATATTTGAGGGAAAACATCACAAACAGAACTATGTGCTCAGAAGTTGGGCAGAATAAAGTGTAAGAAATTGTAAGTGTGTTTGATTTTGTTAAAGAAGCATTTTTTGTTTTTAGGTATATGTGGCTCCAAAAGTACTGGGGAACAGGCAATGTGGAAGGATTCCATCAGAATTATTTCCCAAAGTTCCAAACAAAAATTGATGCTGCTTATGAAATCCCAGACAGAAAGACAGTTTGTCTTTTCACAGGTGAATATTGTGCTTATTTATACCAGAGAAGCAAGATTTGTGAAATAGAGTAATATCTTTTTTTGGACCAACTGACATAGAAGAGAGACAAGCTTTCTGGGTTCAGGCACCCTTTAGCAGGTCTGGGAAAGAAGTAGTCACAGTCCAAGCTAAATACAAACTGGAACATTTGCTTTAATTTAACTGTATAACATTAAGGAATTTGACCACTTTAAAAGAGGTGAGAATATCTGTGGAGCAAAGGCAAACTAGTGGAGGGAAAAGTAAGAGATTATATTAAGCTATTAAACCAATGTGTCCCTGTTATAGTTTTTGTTATGGTCTCATGGTTTTTGGTATCCAATAAAGCCATGAGTATCTATTCTCAAGCCCATGTTCTGAAGTTAGGTTGGGTAGGTTTCCAATGAAGACAAGAACTTTAAGGTCAAAGAGAGCATGGTTGTTTTGTGAAAAGTGTTCTCCCCCTGGTGAGAGGATGTTTCTATCCTTTCTCTTTTTTCATGGGATTTCATCTTGGACCATACTGGTGGTTTGGTTTCACCCTCATAGTTTTCATTAAAGTATTTAGTGCACTGAATCAGGGATATCACACATAGTGATAGATATATGTACCTGAATTCTGATGGTTTTGCTGTGAAAGGCATGAATCATGGCAACTGTGGAGATGTGTTTGCATGTTTTGCATTTGTTGTGTTGTCAAGGTCTGCATCCATTTAGTGTTCATCAGTGAGTGAAGAGTTGGTTCAAATAAATTTAGCAAGGTTGTGGGGTTGTTTGAGAACTGGAGTGAGGAAGGCTTAGGAAATGTTCTTTTAGGGTGTGATCTTCTCTGGGCAATAAATTTAGCACTTCTAATGTGAGGGCACCTATACAAGAGCACAGAGGGTGCTCCAACACACTGGAATTCCAATACGTCAGAGCAGACTTAATTAATCGAGTCTGCTCAAGCATGGTAATTACTGTGCTCCAGCAGCCTCCTTCATCTTCTGAATCAGTGTCCCCATGCTTCAAAATGGCAGCAGAGGCACTTGAACTAAAGCTCATTGAACGAGCTTTAGTTCAAGTGCCCCCACCACCATTTTTAAGCATGAGAATGCTAATCCATGAGACGTGGCAGTGCTTTAATTACAGTGGCTCTCAGAGCAACATTTGCTATTGTTCATGTGCAATAGCAAAAGTGCATTTTTAGTGACACTTAATGTGCACTTAATAGCCTAATTTTACCGTGCATTAGTGTATGAGCATGGTTTTTGCCGTGAGAAAAGTAAAATGAGTAGTAAAATAGGCTACTACACATTAATGCACACATGTAGATGCGCCCTTTGAAAATCAGTCATAACCATTAGATAATATTTCTTATACATTCCACTGTGGGATGCTAAGTGACAGCCAGAGATGTGTAGTCATGGCAAAGAGGGGAGGGAGGTGCTTGTATTTTAGTAAGTTTGTCCAGGGAGATCATTAAAAATCTATTTCTCTCGGGGAGCATCCTCATTGGGTAAAGGTAGGTTTTGGATTGGTGAGGTAGATGTTGTATTAATTTGATATTTCTATTAGAGACATCCACACTATTTCAAATGGTAAATGGAAATAAGAACATGAAAGCATAAGAAATTTCATTCACTGGGTCAGGCCTAGGTCCATCCAGGCCAGAATCATGTCTCACATCGGGGCAGAGTGTGCATGCTAAGAGGGAAGGGTAACTATGGCATGTCCTGAATTTTATACCCCTTGCTTCTCTCCCACTATAGCTTCCAGCATTCAATCTGGCATGAATTATGTCTGACCAATTGATACCAAAGCGTTTCTGTCAATCCCAACACCATATTTTCAGGTTCAAGAATTTAGCCAGGAATTTAATGCACATAAATTAACTCCTTCCAACTGCCTGCAAGAAAAACCCTCCAACTTTCACAAAATTTAAAAGGCAGTTTTCTCCTCCTAACCATACTAGATAAAAAAAGGTTGGCTGGAATTACAAATGCAAAAATAACATTTAAATCAACTAATTTGCTGGCATTATTTTTCTGTGATTTGTCTAATAATCATCTGACATGTCAGACTTTCAAAATCTAACACAAAGTGAAAAAATGTGGGATAGAATTTTCACAAACATTTAGCACTGGAATGTCTTTTATTGTTCCATTGAAATCTATGGTAAAACTCTTATAGAGTTCAGCGGGAAATTTGACTAATAAAGGAGCCCATTAGAAAAATCCTAGGAATAAGAGGAAATACGACAAAAATGCAATTAATTTTTGTAATATGTGGAATGCAAAGTTGTTCTTTACAGTAAGTAACTATTTATGGCTTTGTTTTCAGCTTTGAAATACTGGATAATGAATACTTTGACCATGGAAATATCAATGCATTCTATCTATGATCTCGGATTCTTTATCACTGTCACTCACATTGATGCTGCAGTTTACATAAAAAGGAGGAAGAAGACTTTCTTCTTTGTTGGAGATGAATTTTGGAGGTATTAATCTCATCATTTTACATATTTTCCTTTGTAGGAAAATATAGTTTTACTGAAACAAAAGAACAGATTTGCTCATCCTATTCTCACTGAGTCCCATAGGTAAAAGAGCTGCAAAATCAAATCTAGTATTATGGGGAACATACACAAAACTTTGCTGTGAAGCAGTTCGTGTTGCTAAATACAGACATCTACCTGTAAAACACAAAATAAGGAAATAAATTAATCCACCTAATACTGAATACCCTTTCCTCCATCACCCAAAGGCACATAATTTTGCATTATCATACCCACCATGCACTGCAACCTTAATAGCACCCATTCAAATTTTCCATTTGACCTCACAACCCTTTATAAAACCATCTTCTCCAAACACTATTAGTTCAGAACATTTGCTATTAGTTGAGAACAAAGGTGTGTTACATTAGGATGAGGAACAGAAGTTATACATAAACTGATTTAAGTGATCTGAAACTGGTTTAAACCTGGAACAGAACAGAAGTTCAGTCCACATAAACCAGTTTCAAAATGGCCAAAACTGGTTTTAAGATAAACCTGGTTGAATGTAGTATCAGACTGAACTGACAGACGTCAAAGCAGTTTATGGAAGTTCTGTCCCAGACCCTTCCTGGTTTCAGTTAAATCAGAGTCCCCCAGCATCCCAGCATGCTTCTCAGCCCTGGGCTGGGATGTGCTTTCTACTCCAAAGAGTATGGCTGATGGAGCAGCCCCTGTCAGGATCCCTCCCCCGCACCTTGCCACTCCAGTGGCAGGAGTAGGGGCATGGCCAGTTGCCAGCCCAGAATGGCCCCCTGAAGCAAAGGAGGCAGGGAGGGGGTGTATTCCCCCCTCCCTCCCCTCTCCCACTGGAGGACCACAGCCGGGGTCTGCCACCCCTGACCGCCAGCTCTGCCATTCACAGGGAGTGAGGGGGTAATAAACCTCGCTGCCCGCTTTACCTCAGTGGGCCATGCTGGCCAGCATCTTGCCATGCCCCCAGCCTTGCCACTGGAGTGGTGAGGGGAGGGGACCCTGATGGGGCAGCAGACTCTGACATGGTGTCCTAGGGAGCATAAGTCTCTTCCTGGTGGGAAGACTGCCACAACCTGTGTGGAGCAAGCAGTGGTGGTGGTAGAGATGGGAGGGGTGGCTATGGGGGCTAAGCTGAATTTTGGGGTGGCCATAGCCCCCCAAACCTCTCTTAAAACCACCACCATCACTTACCCTGTTCAGGCTGTGACAGCTCTGCCTGCCTCACTCCTGCCCATGGTGCAGCCTCCCCACCAGGAAGGGTCTGGCACTCCCTGGGACACCGTGACAGGGGCTGCTGGCCAGGGGTGAGCAACAGAGGTGGCAGCTGGAGCTGGCAGACCCCAGCTGTGGTCCCCCAGTGGGAAAGGGGAGGGGAGAATAAACCTTCTCCCTGCCCCCTTCACCTCAGGGGGCCATGCCAGGCCAATGTCTGGTTATGCCCCCACCCTTGACAGGGGCTGCTATGCCCTGGCCAGGCAGACCCCGGCTGCAGTCGCCCAGTGGGAGAGGGGAGGGAGGGGGAAATAAACTCTCTCCCTCCCTCCCCCTTTCACCTCAGGGGGCCATGCAGGGCCAGTGTCTGGCAGGGGCCAGGGTCTGGCCATGCTCCCTCCCTCCTGCAAATCCTGCCAAAGGCTGCTTCCCCCCTCCCTCTCCAGGCACACCCCAGCTGGTGTCCCTGCACCCCAGGGTGGGGTTTAAACCCCTCTCCAATCTTACTCAGGCCTGCTGGGGCCTAGCCAAGCTGCCTCTCTCAGCTCAGCTTCCCCCCCAGTCCAGCCACTGCAGAAGGGAAGGGGGGGCTCACTCTAGCACCCTCTGGCTGCTGGCCTGAGCCACTGCAGGCATGCGGCTGCATTCCCAGAATCAAAAGTGAATGTTTGTTCACTTGCTTGCTGGTTCTATCTATACAGGTTAGACTAAGCTGCAAAGAATGAATCAATTCAGGCTAGGGCTTTTTGAATGCCTGTACTTAGCCTAGGAGGTCTGGAGTATTCTGACAGGAGTAATGAGAATTAAGTCATCTCTATTCATTCAAAGTCATAAAATTAAATTGGGATCTAGAAGAAAAATAATATTCAGAATAGGTTCTAGGTATGCAGAAAGGTGGGTAAACCTTGGGGATCAGGTTTTGTTTGCAACTTGGGTTTTAGGCCTTATTTCAAACACCTTTTTCACATCTTTTAGGCATGATTCTATAAGCTCTTGGCAGGTTAGTAGGACTGACTAGTTATGAAATCAAGTGCTTTCCACTGCAGGGCTATTCCCTGCAATATATAAATTCAGAGGCACTGTTCTGATACAAAGGCTATGACTTTACTAATAATTTGAATGACTGTAGCTGGCAAATGTAACCAAGGAAATGTAAAAGGAGGTGATTTGCTTGTACTCTCATATTTTTCTGGACTAGAACTAAGTTTGAGCTGGAAAATCCTACTTCTCTGTAGTTCAAGATTAGTTCTGAGTTTTGAGTCACATGCATGTCTTGGAGATTGAGATTCCTTTGTTTACCTGTGAATATGTGGCAATAATTAAAGTAGTTATTGCCTGCTAGTAGTATCCGATTTTTCCAAAAGGAGTAGCTTTATTTCTCTAAAGAGAAATCTTGAAACCATGCATTTTCTTTCAGTTTTGATGAAGTTCTCAAAATGATGGAACCAGGATACCCTAAAAAAATGCAAGATGGCTTCCCTGGAATCAATGGTACAGTAAATGCCGCCTTTGAATGGGCAGGTGTGTAACAAATGCAATACTACGCCAAAATAAAATATTTAAAGTAGGGCTTAGTCAGACGTATAATTCCACTTGGCAGAATAAGTTAAATGACTTGCATACAGTATCTAGACAAATACAAGCTATTTATGTAAATTATTTTTATGACTTTTATGACTCTTGAAATAAATTATGGTCCTATATAGCTGTGGACTGGTGACTGTGGCTGGGGTTCCTCACAATTACTTATCAAAACAAAATGCTGAATATGAGGGGACAACCCTCAAGTTTTTGGAAAGTTCAACTCTTGCTTCAAACTTCATTGCTCAAACCAAGCCATAGTTCTTTTTAATTTTAGGCCTGGTTTCTCTTGAGATTTCAATTGCTGTTGCAAACTGCTAGTTTATTCATGACTTGTACAGTGAAGCACTGATGGTTTCACCACTGCAAGATAATTTGTGCCACTCTACCCATTTACATAGCTCCACTGCTGTAAAACAGGTCTACACTATCTGCCTAGTAATGCAGCTACACCAATAACTGGGATCCTAGGGTAGACAAGGTCTTAGTTACAATTTACCCAGTAGCAGATATATTGTAATCCTTCACTTAAACCTGCAATTAAAGCCAAGAGATCCAGATGTGTAACAAGAAGTTTCTATGGTGGCTGATAGCAGTGGTGGCTGGATTGGGAATGGCTGCCACCATCAATCCTGTACCAATTTTAAATTAGCACCTGAGGTTGGCTTCCCACTGATTCCCCCCTTAGTTACACTACAAAGGGAGAAAAGATAAGCCATTACTACAGAGCACAAGTAGGAATAAGAGGTGCATAGAGGTGTTTATTGTTTTACTCTGCCTTCCTTTAAGTTGATGGTGTACTGTATCAGTGCTAGGCAGAGCCCAACTGCCCATGATTCAATATACCTATTATTCCACTTGCATTGGTTAAATAAATTTCATAGTCATAAAGATCCTATGAAAATTATGGGCTGGTTAAATTCATATTCTTTTTCTTTATAGGTTTCATGTACATCTTTGTTGACTCTGATGTATATGCATATCACTATGAAGAGAAAAAGATCCTGTTTTCCATAAAGGCGAATGCATGGTTCAGATGTTAGTCCTCAAAAACTATGCTCTTATAAACATCAAAGGGAAGCCTCAACTTATGGTGGTTGAAATGGACTATTCAGTCTTTGTTTGTGTGACCGCAACTTTGCATCAGTACATATTTGTGCTGTCTTTCATGGTATACTTGTAGGCAGGCACATTTGAAAGGTTTTAGCACCTATACATGAAGCTGACAGAATTATACATGCAAAGCATATTTGGCAAAATGGGATTGTGCGTGAAAATTATCTTATTTGTATATAATCTACTGGTCCAAAAATCAGACAATTACAAATTCTAGCATGCCTGCTTTTGCCTTATTATGACGCACAAACATCTCTCAAATGTACAAGTCAAACCCAATAATCTTAAGTGTAGAATATAAACTTAGAATAAATGGGAAAGAATCAGTAAAACCAGGAGTTAGACTTTTGAATTATTCCACGCTACTACATAGGCAGCTTTTTCTACACAGTAGTGTGGATGTTTAAGAAAAACCCTAACCCGTGACTGAAACTGCCTCCCACATAGTAATATACAAGACTTAGCCACAGGCAACTACTTTTTTACAATATGCCAGTCTACGTGGTATTGGGAGATAAATTATATGTTTCCAGTTTAAAGTAGTGTATTATGCACATTTAATGTGTATGTGCATATTCCGGAAGGGTTCAAGACTCCCACCCACAAACACATATGCTTGGTATTAAAACCTAGTCCACAAATAATGGTCCTTCTTGGTTTGCACTTCTAGCTCCAATATTTAAAATGGTCTTTATGAATGTTTACATCAGTGAATTCTTTTTTCTGGCATTAATCATTCAAATAGTCCAAAAGGAACTGTCAGGTCCCTGGTATTTATTCCAAATATAGACTTAAAAACACTAATTTACCAGTCATCTACTGACTTCACTATTTTGCAGGCTTTGTTGGGTTTCAGGCATGCCTACACAAAACGCTGAAATTAAAACACTTCTTTTTTCAGTCCTTTATAAGAGAATGAGCCAGGATAAGTGAGATACATATACAGAGAAACAAAACTGATCACCTTGACTGAGACAGAAAGAAAAAATCATTCTGGCTTTATACAAAAGGAAAAGATGATTTATGCTTATTTTGTTAATATCCAATACTACACAGAGGGATATATATGTATTTCTCCATTAGGCATAGTTGCAAAGCAATTAAGGCATTTTGCTATAGCTCCAGAGGCACAAGTGTGAGCTTTGCTTCAATGTTATGCAAAAGGCTACCCCCAAATCCACCTAGGTGTTAACACAGGGGTGGGAAAAATCCAGCCTGCAGGCCAAATCAGGCTGGCAGTGGACTCTATCTCCCAGCAGCCCCTGCCCACATGGCTAGGGCCAATCTCCATGGTGACTCTAGCTGCAGCTACACTGTGAGAGCACAAGGCTAGGGTTGCCATGGAGACTGGCCCCACCCACACCGGCAGGGTGTGCGGCAGGGCAGGGCAGGGGTCTGCTCCAGAGACACTGGGATCTTGCAGTGGGGACAGCTTGGTCTCGGTCCAGGGCAGAGCCACAATTTGCAGCCTGCATGCTCTGGGAGGGGGTGTGCAGGCAGGAGATCGTGGCTTTGCATGTCCCTGCCCGGAGCATGCAGGCTGCAGATCACGGCTCTGCCTTGGCCCTGGACCAAGCTGCCCCTACCGTAAGATCCCAGCAGCTCCGGAGCAGTCCCCTGCCCTGCCCTGCTACATGGCAACCCTGGTCTTGCCCCATCACAGAGCAGCTACAGCTGGGGTCTCCATGGAGACTGGCCCCAGCCATGAGGGCAGGGACTGCTGGGAAATAGTCTGGCTGCCACCTGGATCTGCCATTTTGCCCTCCCCTGTGTTAATAGGTACAAGGTCATCTGCAGGCATGTGCCTGCATTTCCTCAGTCCAGAGGGAATGTCTGTCACTTGCAAATTGATTCAATCTAGCCAGGTTAGATTAACCTACAAAGATTGAATCGATTCAGGCTTTGACTTTTTGAATGTCTGTCCCTAGCCCCTGGGTTACAAAAAGTGGTTCATAATAACCCTGAACCAATGCCCACAAAGCCCCTTACTTAACAAAATGCCTACATTTTGCACTGTAGTTTCTTCAGTACCTAAATTTAAGTTTCTGCACAGATGCAGATGCATAAACAGGCTTATTTGAGCAAGTAGGTGCCGAGCTGCATTCTAAATCTTTTGTGTTCCAGATACAAAGCAAATTGCTATCTAAACTCTCCCTGAAATATCAGGAAGGGCCCAAGTTGGTGAGCAGTCTCCAAGCAGGGCCAGCAGTGGCATAACTAGGAAGGGCGAATGGGGCAACTGCCCTAGGCACCAACTTTTTTTGAGGGTGGAGGATAATAGCTGCTGTTGGCAGCTGCATGATCACTATTGTGATCATGGCAGTAATTGGAAATCACTACTGCCCCTGTGCCCCAGACCGTGTTCCTGTGCTGCCCACCTCTCCTGCGGCCAGGGGGCAAGCTGACGGTGAGCCCTGAGCTGTGGGGGGCCCCAGTGCTTCCCTCCACAATAGCAGCACCCCCCAGGACCACCCAGGTGGGGTGCCAGTGGGTGGGTGGTGCCCTGGGAGTGCTGTTACCACAGAGGGAAGCACCAGGGTCCCCAAAGCTCAGGGACTACATGACCTGCTGGCAGCTTACTTTCCAGCCGTGGGAGATGCATGCAGGCTCCAGCAGGGGAAAAAAAAAAAGATCAGGCTCCTCGCTGTTTTCTTTTGTTTTGTTTTTCCTCAGTGGAGCCTGCTCGCAGAAGCTGCCTCTGGGTCACCACAGCCTCTGAACTGCGGGGGGGGACCCAGTGCTTCCCTCCATGGTAGCAGTGCCCCCTGGGGCCACCCAGGTGGGGCAGTAGCTGTGTGAATGCAGCCCCAGCTCACAGGCAGCACCCGTAAGATCCAACAGTGCATGCGGTGCTGGAAGCCTCGGCGTACTCAGGGAAGCTCAGGCTTGGTGGGCTTCCAGTGCCCTGTGCACTGTCCCTGCTGTCTCCCCACCACCTGGGGCCACCCGGGAATGGGCTGGCTTCCATGGGAACATGGCAGGGGAGTGGCTGGGTGTGCTGGCAGCCGGAGAAGACAGTGCGGACAGTGCACAGGGCACTGAAAGCCTGCCACACCTGAGCTTCCCCAAGCATGATTGAGCTTCCAGTGCCCTGTGCACCATCCCCACCACCTTCTCCAGATATTCTAGGACTATGAACAAGTCACAAGGTCAGACCTTTGATAAAATATGTATTTATATTTCCACACCTGTGTTTACACCTGGACAGCTTTATGTAGCCTTTTCGAGGGTGAGAAGTTTTGATTCCGTTAAAGTATTTAGTTAAAGGATAACTAAAAATCCTGTATTTAAGGAAATACTTTTGCAATAAAATTTGAATCGTAAATGTTTTGCAGGTTTCAGCTACTTTAGTATACACTCAGATATGACTCAGAGTGTCATCCACTGAGTCACTACCACCATTCTCATAGCACCAGGATATTCCATTGAGACCTTTCATCCAGGTGCATACTGTGGTTTAGGGAGTCAAATACGCAAATGGAATGTAGACTAAAGGAAATAAATGCTCCAGACTTTCATTATAATATGTTTTAGGATCTGCTCACCCTTATCTGAAACACATTGCCTCATATTCACTTGATTTCTCATGTTGCCTAAATTGGCTTTTCTGAAACCTAATATCCTAGTATTATAATGTTCTGTAAACTCTTCCTTCATTCTGCTGAATTCAAATAGTTTGTGACAATTGGTATTAGACTTCCTTATTACTCACAGTTCCTAGTGACACCTCAGAAAGAATTACCTACAGAATAGTTTCCTTACTCCCCAATTTATGAAGTTGTTCTCTTTTTCTTCAATCTGTATCGGTTATGTACTGTTTATTACTAGTATGTTGCATTTTAAATTGTTCAAAGCACTGCACAGGCCTTTAATTCTCATAATTCTTGGTTTTGTCATATGGATACAAATTATTCCCTGTTGTCTGGCTCTGTATAAAGAGTTGAGCAAAAGTGCACCTGTGACCCATCAGCTATGGAATGCAAAACAAAAGTGAGCATACAGGCTTTGGGGTGGCTCCTGCAGGAGAGTGGATAGAAAGAAGGAATGAAGATGCATGGATGTATGAAAAGAAGGTACCAAGATAGATGGAAGTCAGTAGTTAGCTCCAGTTAATGGTTGACTTTCAAGTAACGGGCTGAAGGAGTAGAAGTCTATAGGCCTCTGTGGACAATCCCAGTTGAGGGGAAAGAGATGATTGATGTGCTGCTTTTGTCAGCAGTGGCAGCAGCAGCAATCTCTTGATTCTAAGATTATCTCTCATGGATGAGTCTTGAAGAAAGTCCAATCCTTGAGCCACGGATCCATCTGCAGAAGTTGCAGGTCTTTCTACAAAGGAAAGTAGACTGTAAGCTGAGATTCCTTTCAGAATTCATAGACATAGATTTCATAGACATTAGGGCTAGAAGGGACCTTGGAAGATCATCGAGTCCAGCCCCCCACCCCAGGGGCAGGAAGTCAGCTGGGGTCAAAGGATCCCAGCAAGATAAACATCCAAATGTCTCTGAAAGGAGTCCAAAGTAGGTGCTTGCACCACCTCTGATGGAAGTCTGTTCCAAGTGCAGTCCCTTTTGGGTCATAACACTTTCTTGATTGCCCTCTGCCTCCCCTGCTGTCTGCCTCTCCACCAGCTTGCCTTTCCTTAAACTAGCAGGAGTGCTAAGCTCCCTGTTGTAGATGCCATGAACATCTGATGAAGTAGGCTATCGCTTATAAATTGTATGACTCTCTGAACCAGTTAGTCTCTAAGGTACCACTCTGCCCTGCCTTCTGCTAGGCTTCAGATTAACACAGCTAACTACCTCTAAATTATATGCTGTTTTCATTAACAGATGTAGTTTTATACAAACCCTTCCTTCTTCTATTTGCTCTGCTGTCTGCTTCTCTCCCAGAGATCCAAGGAACAGATACCCAAAGGCATGCTTAAGTC